GGCAAATGTGTGGCAAGTGTGTTTCGGTGGTGTGGGGCACTGATACTAGTATTCTGGAAAGTGGCTGCAGAAACATAGAGATATCTATACCTGACCCCCACTGGAACCGGTGTTCTTGCCAAAAATAACGACTCTGGACATGGAGCAAGATGTAAACTGGTGGGAACAAGGGATCAAATATAGAAAGATGTAGCACATCAAAGAGTTAGGACTAGGCAAAAGAAGAAAATAATATGGGGAATGAGATTCAGAGAATGGCAGGAAGGGACAAGTTTTAAAAAGTCATGAATGCTCTATTCAGGGGAGGCGATGGCCTGGTGGTATTATCATTGGACTGTTAATCCAGAGACCCAGATGATGTCCTGGGGACCTGGGTTCGAATCCCACCACGGCAGATGGTGGAATTTGAATTCAATAAATATCTGGAATTTAAGAGTCTGATGACCGCAAATCCATTGTCGATTGTTGGAAAAACCCATCTGGTTCACTAATGTCCTTTAGGGAAGGAAACTGCCATCCTTACCTGGTATGGCCTTGTGTGACTCCAAACCCACAGCAATATGGTTGATTCTTAACCACCCTCTGGGTAACTAGGGATGGGCAATAAATGCTGCCTAGCCAGTGATGCCACCATCCCATGAATGAATAAAGGAACGAGCATGGCTAGATGTTACAACGGTGACTGAAAGCACATAGAATTCGTAGCAATTGTGGAATAAAAGCAATATACTGCAGAAGCTGGAAGTTCAAAGTGAGCAGAATGCTGGAGAAACTTGGCATTCTGGCAGCATCTGTGGAGAGAGAAAGAGTTCATGTTTTGGGCCCAATATGACGACTTCAGAACTCCTCAATTCTGAAGAAGACTCCTATTGGATTCAACATTAACTCTGTTTCTCTGTCTACAGGCAGCTGGACAGTAGTGTATATTGAAGTAAATATCTGAAAATGATTAGAGATATGGCTGCAAGATGACATGGACTGGGTTCTGAATATTTTGGGGTAATTGATACGAGAGGAATAGGAAGCTAGGTAAAGGTTGAGATGCAGCATTGATTATTAAGTACAGCATTTGTGCAAAACTTAGATATGCCCTTATATGCAGGAGTTTATGTGGAGATGAGAAATGGTAGGGAAGGAAGCCACTTGTAGGAGTGGTCTTAGGGATTTTTAACAGCAATGTGGGACTAAGTAAGTAAAGTCACTATAGTCCTACCAGACCATATGCTGCTTTCTCATTAGAGAGAGATGGCCATTGGTTTAACCTGAGGGTCATCACGTCTTGGGCAAGGGGAGTGGTTGAGAAGGAAAGTCCTTCATGATAACCTTAGCCAGTAACGGAATTGAGCCCATACTGCTGGCATCACTCTGCATTGCAAATGTGCTGTGTAGTAATCAAGCCAATCTAACATGACGTCTCTGCTACAGCCCATAGATCAGAGAACGATAGCAACGTTTGAGGTCAACTACCTGTGTCATACCTTTTCCTAACATGTTCAGACAACTACTGGGAGAATACTTAACCAGCTGTGGAATTTTCACACAGCTACATTTTCACTGATTCATGGGATGTTGTCATGCTTGATATGTGACAGAAATTATGGCCTCAGCCATAACTAGACAAGGAGAATCTCAACACTGTCCCTCAGTTTCAGTGTAAAATCATACCTTAGAGAGGAAACCTGCTTTTTGAATTAGATGTGGCTGATGTGTTGGAATTCCTTGCATCCCATGAAGAGATGTAATACAGCTGACGAGCCAGGACACTGAAGAGGAAGATTCTGTTGCTTCTCGATTTTTGACAGCTGTTTCACTGACAAAACTTGTCACCTCCCTGGAAGGTGACATGAAAATCCACTGAGGAAGCAGCATTAGAGAGAGCTGGATGACCAGTGATGCAATAGTGGAGGAGCAATATGAAACAGTTCTAATCATCCTTGAATAGATTTTCAACATTGTTGGTGATTCTGGCCATTCATCTCATTAATTTACCCAGACTGGATTTTGCACACCACCTTGAATTCCAAATCGCAATTGCTCCAGCTTCAGTCATTGCGTTGCTTAGTATAGGATGAGAAGGATAGCAAATGTAAGATTTTGTGTGTGTGTCTCGCTCTTGCTGTCTTTTATAAAATATGAATTATTTATTGCTGAAGTTCATTTGATATGCTACTTATAGTGAAGAATACTTGAGATATGGTTGAGCATAGAACGTCACGAATGAAAGTAACTGCGTTGTTCAGTAACATTCTAGACTCTTTCACAAATTTAGGTAATGTTCCACTATTTTATTTGTACAAGGCATTTATTCCGTTGATGTTTTTGTTTTTGTTTTTGTTTTAGTTCACTTTTTTTCTTGCAAGAATTGTAGTAGTGCATCTACTAACCATGCATTGTGGTATATCTTATCAATGCTAAGAGCAAAAGTAGAGCTGTTCTTTAAAAATATTTACCGATTGCTGTTTCCTACCGGAAACTGGTTCTGGCCAGACTTAGTTCCCGGAATAAGCTTTGGCTGTGGATGTGAGGTATACATTACACGCAATCTGATCAATTAACCAATAGGGTGCAAACAAAGCCAACAATTTGTTGTTTTGGTGCTTCTAATAGATTGTAGTAGGTGAGCAGAAAGCATGCACTTTTGCCATTCTGTATTTAGCTATATAAATATTTTGTATGTGTTATTTTTCAAAGTCTAGATTATTGGCATAAGATCTGATTCCCAACAGTGCTTTGCAGTTTCAAGTTGGCAATTTAACAAGCTAAGCTTATTTAAGATGGATATGTGCTGATTTAAAAAGACCTGGAGATTTACTTTTAACACTCCATTTTATTGTGGAAGTTGTTTTGAATAAACTCGAGTCAATATCTCTCTGACATATTTATTGTATAATTTGAGTCTAGAGTTTTAATGCCACTATTTGAACTGACATCCAGTTTTATCAATATTTGGGCCAGTAGTTTATTAGGAGATGTGGAGTGTAAGAATTTTCCCCTCTTCATGTGTGACTATTCTTGAGCATGCTTTTCAACAAAACATTACTATTCCAACTGAAGTTGTTCCATTCTTTGATCTTGGCACCTGATTTATGACTGAGATACATTTGCTGTTCTTCATGTCTCTCCTATTAACTGACTGGGTGAATGGAAAATGATGTAAATGCTGTTGCCAGCGGTCTTTTATGAAATACTTTGACTATATTTATCATTAAACCCTCAAGAAAACTTGTTATTCTATAAAAACGTACTTCCTAAGCTTATACTATTGTGAAACCCCATGCTCCAACTAACTTTCCAAATTGCTGTACTTTTTAAAAATTCACTCCTGGGCCAAGTGCGTCGCTGGCTGGCCAGCACTTAGGCACCGTTCCTAGTTGCCTTTGAGGTGGTTGTGAGCTGCCTTCCTGAACTGCTGCAATTATGTGAGACTTTGTATCAACTGATACAACTGAGTGGCTTGCTAGGCCACTTCAGAGCAGTTGAGAGCCAACCACATTGCTGTGGATCTGGAGTTGCATGCAGACCAGGCCAGGTGAGGATGGCAGATTTCTCTCCCTGAAGGATATTACTGAGCTAGCTTTTCTGACAATGAGCAATGGTTTTGGGATCATCAGTAGATTCTTAATTCCAAATTTTATTTTTATTGAATTCAAATTCTACAATCTATCATGGCAGGATACAAACCCAGGTGCCCAGAATATTAGCTGAATTTCTGGATTAATTGTCTAGCAGTAATACCACAAGGCCATCACTGCCCCTTCGCCTTTTGCTATTTATTATGTAGGATTGTATAAGAACAAAGAGAACAGGAAAAGCAGCTGATTTAATGATTTAAATACCTTTTGAGATACTAGATGAATATTTGTAGTTCTGTTGTCTGAAAGGGTGGTGGAAACAGATTCAGTCGGAACTTTGAAACAGAATTTGGAATAAAATTCAATGGGGAGAAAGAAAAAGGATTGTGGAGCAAGTCCGACTCCCCTGTTCCAATTAGTAGTGTTTCCAATGAGTGTCATAATGGATTGAATAGCTCTCTCCTATGCTTTATAATTTTATGATAATGCACAAAAGGAGGACAAAATTAAATATGCACACCCTATTTCTGTTCAACTCCCACCTTTAATTTGAAAACTGCGTTTGGTGATTGTTGCTTGCACTGTTATGGATGATTGACTAGTGTTGATTGTTGTTTGATTGACTGACTCTTTCAATGGGTTTTCAGATGAGGTATCCAGTAACTTTCTCGGCCTGCAAAACACTAATAGCTTGTGCCTAGGAGAAACACCTTTTTTTTTGCTAAATTTTCATTGCTATTAGTGTATATTAATTTCGATGCAAGTTATAATTAAAGCAGTTTGTATGTTGTCGAATATCATGTAATAAGCATTCTAGTTGTCTGTGCAAAGCTATTAGGACTATACATAGCACGTTAATGTAATAACAAAGTGTTACAGATGCTGTGTTCTGAAGAAGTCATGTTGGATTCAAAATGTTATTTCTTTTTGCTCTGCCACATTTCTAAATGAGTTCTCATTTTAATGTATAAAGGAGAGGACCATTTTATTACTGATGGTTGCAATACTTCGAACAGCACTGCTATATCCTACACCAAACAGCAGAATACAATTCTTCTATCTGAACAATATTTCTCAGCACAAATCCTCTGTGTGGCACTTTGTATGTCCTACACGATCGGCATGTGCCCACTTAACAGAATTGAGCGTTACTTCCAAATCACCTCTTCACACTGACGTTATTACTTTTTGGCACCTAAGTTGATACTATCCAAACACTCAAAAGAATGGTGATTTTCATCCCCATTTTTTTGATTTGAATCTGCATCTCCACGTTCAGCCCATTGCATCATCTGTATTTTTGTTTTAAACACACAGCTTATGTCAAGCTAGGAATGTTAACTGATTTAAGCAAGTCCGTTTCAATTACATGTTTATGCTTTTCATGTTTTTATCCTAAAATTAGATCTTTTAAAATTCTTTTTATAGTGGAATCTAGTCAAAAGACTTCGTTTAGTGACATTCCAAAGCTAAGTGAAGATCTCCTTGCAGTCCAGAAAGATCTTGCCAACTTAGACACTGGAGACAGAGGGATTAGCAAAATATGGACCAACATCACAGAGCTGAATAAGCAAGTAAGCAATGGTAGATCTTATTACTCACCAAACTGTAGTACTTGCACAGTGGAAAACTAATGGGCTGGCAGAATTTAAGTGTTGTTTGGTTATTATCATCCCATTTATTGTATTTCAGGTTAGAACAATATTCACTGATACGAACAAGTGCTGGAGGTCTGAAACAAAAACAAATAATTTTACATCTGTGAGCTTGATGCAAAACATTTGATTTCTGTTACCTGAACTATTCTGATGAAAGGTCATCGACCCGAAATGTTTACCTCTTTCTATCTCCAAGTATATTATTTGTCAAATATATAGAACTGTATTCAGTTATTCACCGTGTCTCTAATTGGGAATCCAGATATAGCTAATTAGATTTAACAGGAAATTAAAATAAATGCACATTATAATTGGACATGCAAAACATGTAAATATAAGTATCAAGATTACATGTTCTGTTTGTGCTTTGATAAGATGGTAGTGTGAAAAGCAGAATTGGAGTGTTTTTGATTATTGTAAGTACTTTGGTTACTGACTGGTGGTAGATATGTACACAAATAAAATACTGAAGTAAGTAAATGTACCCAGGGGAAATCCATTTATTTGTATTTAGTGTATGTACAGCATTTTCTACCAACATTTAGTGCACCTGGCTGAAGTTAGTCTGCCTAGTCAGTATCAGGGGAATAAGATCATTAAAACAATGATTATGTAGATGAATTGAACATAGTTTGACTACGTTTAATTGTTTTTACATTTTAAAGCTTTGCCTAAACTCTACAACATCAATTTGCAATTAGTACCCAAAATAGCAAACATCCCAAAGTAATTGTTACAAACTATCCCTTTTCTCTATGGTTTCTGAAGATGAGAGTGCTGAGGAAAACAAAATGTTATCTTTGTAGTTTACATTCCCATCTCCTGGACAAAATTTACATTGAATGATTTTGATACTGAACTAATATTAAATATATTAAACAGGACAATTGCCTTTGCTAAGTTGCTGTTGACCTGTGTTACTGCATTCTGTGAAAGTGTTGCTACTCTAATTTCGTTATCTTCCAAATCAGCCAATAGAGTGATTTAGTGTGCCACGTTTCAAGATGAGTATTGGAATTTTAGATGTAATGCAATTCTCTTGAATTTTGCTGGAAATGAATGGACTACTGTACAAAGTGGTTAATGTTGGATGTATTTGATATAATTTAATCTCTAGAGTCTTGTAAGTGAAACCTTTTTGGGTTTCTTTGCTTAAATTTCCAGTTTCAGTTTTATTGCTTTCAAAACCAGAAGGATCGTAGTGCTTTAAATTTGGTGCTTTTTGTTTAAAGAAATAAACCAGAAATTACATTTGATGTCCACATTTGAACTTTTTCTATTATTCTCTGGCATCTTAATTTGTTGTTTTTAAAAATAGTTTCTCAATTCAGTATTGGAATGCATCCAATGACTGATTACTTGTTGTATATTTCCCGTGTTGATATATTCTCCTTTTCCCAAGTGATTTTTAGTACCTGGTGGTCCAAACTGCAATAGTTAAATATCATTGTGAACTGGGTACTTATTCGCTAGATATCTATATACCAGTAAAAAATATCAAGCAGATTGTGGGCTGAAGGAGTCACTTGGAGTAAATGTATAAGAGGCCAGAATTAAAGATTTGGGTTAGGAAGGTTTTGTAGGTTTCGAGGAAGTTACACAGATTAGAAAAGCCTGACAGTGAAGAGATTTGTGCAGAATAATAGTACACAATAATGCATCATTTGAGTAAGAACATAAGAACTAGGAGCAGGAGTAGGCCGTCCGGCCTTGATCACTTGTTTACCTTAATATTATACTGGTGGGTGTTCAGCTATAAATGGACACACTCCATTTTGGTGTGCTTAACCCACCAAAATTGAAAGCAGCAATTTATGGTTGTGGTACACTTTTTCTCATTTTCCAGTATTTTTGTCTCAGTACTGTTGTGACGTTAGAATGCAGGTTATGGTGAATCTTCTTTCTGCTTCTGAAATATGGCTTTTATAGGAAGCCAGTCATAATTCTTGCTGTAACGGCACTACTGCTAAAATAGACAGAATCTGGTTCCTTATTGTCTTCTCCCACCTTAAGATGTCATTCTCATGCCGTCCATCCCATTGTAGCTTTTCCTGAGTGGCTTTGTTTCACCTCCTGTTCTCTGGTGATCTATACCTTCAAAGGCCCTCTCCTTGTCACTAATCTGTTCCAACTGCCTGGTGGTCTATCATCTTCAAATACAAGTTCAGTGAAAAGCTGTCTGCTTTATTAAGAAATCACTTCTTGCCTCTAACTGATCATAGAGACTGTATAGTGTTGAGTCTGTGTGGGTCTCCTCCGGATGCTTCAGTTTCATCCCACAGTCCAAAGATGTGAAGATTACGTGGATTGGCTATCTAAATTACCATTGTGACCAGGGATGTTCAGGCTAGATGAATTAGCCATGGGAAGTGCAGGGTTACAGGGATAGGATGGGGAACATTGGGTCTGGGTGGGATGCTCTTCGGAGGGTCGGTGTGGACTTGATCGCTTTAAGGCAACTCACTGAGCCACCTCTAACCTAGTAAATCATATCCTGTAAGGGTGGGGCTTGATCCATTTTTATGCTGCCTAATTTCAGCAAAAAAATTGCTTTGCTTAGGTATGTTAACTGGAGAAGTGATGTGTTGTGCGCTGAGGGAGACGCTAATGATTGAAGAGGTATTAGATGTTGGGAAGCAAGGGGTAGAGGAAGTAAATCTAGAGAGAGGGGTATAAAGGGTCAAAAGGAATCCTATTCAATTTTGGTTGAGGGCAGTATGAGTTGACGCAGATTCCTTTTGCTTGTGCCATGGCAACGAAACAAAGATTGGCCATCTCTATGATGTTTATTTAAAAAAGTGCAATGAATTTGGTAGTGGTAGTGGCTCCAACATCATTCATGTTACATGGCTAATCAGGAATCTCTCCCAGATTTATCACCTGCTGTTGGTGTGTGTTGAAAGAATTGACACTTTGGTTGATACTCATCCACTTTAGCCATGTTGAGCACTTTTTACCATGAACACCGTGGGATGGATTTTGAACATGAAGGCCTGACCTAGAGGCAGGAATGCTGCCTCCTGTGACACAAATCATTTTAGGTAGTGCATCTTGTTGATACAGCTTTGGGATGCTGCTTAGTTCCATAGATCCTAAAATCGTTTTCACTCTGCTTCAATCATGAGCCATTAACCACCTCCACCTAACCATTACTCCATGTATCCAGTAGTTAAGGCCTAGGACAAGGAAAGTTCCTAATTTCTCACTCTGGTGCATTTCAACCCTGACTCTATCACAGTGGTTTGCTTTACTTGTTCTGCTTTTTAAAGGTTTAGATTTCTGGCAAAAGTGATATCAATTATTTCAGAGAAACAACCATGCTGTTGAAGAATGTTTCAGCGCAGATGCAAGAATGTGAAAATTCAATGGGAGCAACAATTTGCACTGTAAGAAAAAGCTACAGATCTGATTGGTCGTAAAAGTGAAGTTGAGGAAGCAATAAGGAACTCTTATTCTCTAGGGTTTTGTTTAATTTGAAACAGGTGCTGTGTCCAGACAGGTTCACTCCTGCAGAGAGCAGGAATCTGTGTATGAATAATCTACACCCTTTTTATGTACAATGGAGTGACTGAAGATGCTGTTTGGAAATTATGGAATGTGCATTAAGAGGCTGAGACAGCATCAAGAGAAACAGTTGCCTTAACTGTTGGGTTGAGAAACAAAGTAATTGAAAAGATTCAAAGGCAGCATGAGGATAAAGATTTTTACACTGAAAGATTACAATCTGAAACAAACTGTCAATCATGGTTTCCAGAAGTGGTTCGGGTGGTTACATGAAGGAAGAAATATTTGTGGGGCTACAGAAAAAGGGTGGGAGTGGGACTAGCTAAATTATTCTTGCAGTAGAGCTAGTATGAATTTGACCAATCAAAAATGCTTATCCTGCACTGCTGAAACTAACCTGTAATTCTGGTTGCATAACTTTGATGTTTCTTATGTTACAAACCTGCTTACAGTTTCAACTGATTGTTACCTTCAGTAACTCGTGTAAAGTTTGCTTTGATTTGTAAAGTACTAATAGGTCATCTGAAACATGAGATCAAATATTTAAAATGTTGTATTTGGCAGTAAACATTACATTGCTTGTTTAAATGCCAGTTGGACTTATGATGTTGCCACTTTAACTACTGTTTGTTCGATTTCTTTTCTCCAACCCCTGTTGTCCAGCAGTAGTGCCACAGGTGCCAGACAGTCTCCAGTACAATTCTCAGATTGTCTTTGTCTTTTTCCAGTAATGTTTGCAGTTAGCATTGACAGGCTGTTCACCTAAAGCAACCTAGGCTAACCCATTGTTGCATGCTTGTTCATCCTCCAATAATTAGCTGCATAGTTCCTCTCTCAATTACCTCTGCTTAAAGATACTGACTCCACATTGTATCCTTATTGTTGCTGTAGTCGGCAACCTTTCTGAGCACTCTGCCTCAGATGCATCTGATTTTTATTTAGTTTACAAATAAGAATCAAATGGTGAGCAACATGGACTTTGAATGAACCGTGAACTTCATTATTAAATTTTAGTTTTAAGCAATTCAGTGAAACTGTTTATTTGTTCACGGCTCTGATTTTAAGTGGGACACAGGTTCAGTTCCTCCCTCTGGTAACTGTCAGTGGAGTTTGCATGTTCTTCCCCTTTCTGCATAGGTTTTCGTCTGGGTGCTCTGTTTTCCTCCCACAACACGAAGATGTGCAGGTTAGATCGATTGGTCATGATAATTTGCCTATAATGGCCAGAGACATGCAGGCTCGGTGGATTAGCCATGGGAAATGTAAGGTACAGGGATAGGGTTGGTGGTGGGGGGATATCTTGGTGGGATGCTCTTTGGAGCTGTGCGGCCTTGATGGGATGAATGGCCTGCTTCCACGCTGTCGGGATCCTCTGATTCTAAAAGATTGTTGCTCTTTATTGCAAATTTCATTTTTACAAATAGTGCTAAGGGCTCTTGTGGCACAGTAGTAGTGCCTGTACCTCTGAGTATGGAGGCCTGGGTTTAGGTACTTCAGAAGTATGTCATAGCATCTTTTTACAGGTTGATTAGAAAATATATTGCATTGTTGTTATGGCTGTTATAGTGCAGTGGTAGTTTCCTTGTCTCTGTCTGTCTAGTTCAAATCTCTTCTGCTCCAGAGGTGTGTAATGACATTTCTGAATATGTTGATTAGAAAATATCTCTCAGTACGGTGCTACATTTGGACTGATCTTCACTATTCACTTCTAGAGCAGGTGTTATTATGTACTGAAAAAAATTCATTTTGCCACTCTGTCCTTAAGTTATTGTACAATTATAAAGTCTGAGTTTAAAAAGTAATCAATAATGATTTTATGCATAGCTGAAATAAGATGTGGAGTATGTTAGTGTAGTGTACTTGTATGCTATACTGGGGGCATAATATGCGGATTGTTAAATCAGGTACTGGGTGTTTGATCTTGGCTGCCTGGTTAAGTAAAGTAGAGACCAAATGCTTCCCTTGCTGCTGGATCATTTTCCCTCTTGGTAATTCATAAAGTGCTGGAAATGGGTAAATCTAATCTGGGTGGAAGGGTGTTGTTCAGTGTCATAGAGTAGCCACCATGTAATATAATTTTGGTGTGTAAGCCTCAGAAATGGGTGATCCAAGGTGCTCTTGTCTTTTTATTTAGAAAAACGTCAGTCTAGAAAATGTATCTGAAATGCAAAGCTGAACGAGAGGCATTATAGTAAATTGAAGTATAAAATCAGGACAATAGTAATCAACACATGATTGTAGATCAGTTAGAATTGACAATAAATGATCTATCTTTCAGGAGGTAGAGAAGGGAGGAGCAACAACAGAGTTAAGTGATGTTGGAATGGTATTCACTAAGGAATTCATTAGAGAAATAAGTAAAATTATGTTAGTTTTTTTAGAAAGTACATCAGTTGCATTGGAAGTATAGTTTAAGTTGTCAAACATTGGAAATGAAGTTAATGATTCCTAGAGAAAAGGCGTGCATTAATGATTATAATTATAGAAAATTTTGAACAAAACCTAAATAAGCCAACAGACAGTTAGAAAAATGAAAACTAAGACAATTTCAAGTATTATAATAAAGCTACCAAAAGAGAATGTAAAAGCTAAGATCAAGAAAAAGTCCAAAAGCAATCTTTTTGTGTTGTGCTGTGGCAGAATTCATATTCTGTGGGTGTAAAACAATGTAGTGAAGGATGGAGAATTGATTGTTGGATCTAATGCTCTTTGTTTTTCACAGCAGTTTACAGTGGGATGTTAAAGACTGCTATTGTGATTATGGATATTAAAAAAGGAGCAAATGTAGATCATCTGGCCCCTTGAGTTATGTTCCTGCAGTTGAGTCTGCCTCTGAACTCTGCACAGCAGTGACTTCTGTAAGCGGGCATCAATGTGTCAGCCACTTGGAGGGTTTGCGATGTGGCTGCACAGATTAGAAGGACCGTTGTCCTTGAGCCTCCTCTGCCATTCAAAATGATAGTAATTGATCTGTTTCAAATTTCATACTCCCATTTACCCCTCTAACCCTTGATTTCCCCCGCCTAACAAGAATCTATCCTTTTCTGTCTTAAAGATATTCAATCCCATTTCTCCACGGCCTACTGAGGCAGAATTCAGCATCACACGGCCCGCTCAGAGAAACAGTTTCTCCTTGCCTCTGTTCTGAACGGACAACTTCAAATTTTAAAACCGTGCTCCCTGGACTGACCACAAAAGGATCCTTTCTGCATTGATCTTGTCAAGATCATTTAGGATTTTGTACATTTCAATCAACTCAGCCCTCCCTCTGCTAAACTGCACTGGAAAGACCCTAACCTGTCCAACTTGATCTCATAAGAAAACATGCTCATACCTGTCCAACTTCTTCTTCTCATAAGAAAACATGCTTATTCCAGGTTAAAATCTAGTAAACCGTCTTTGAACTGCTTCCAACACATTTGCATCCTTCCTTAAATAAGGAGACCAAACTGCACACATTATTTGAAATGTGGGGTTGAGACTTTCCTATCCATTCTACTTCATTTTTATCCAGTGGTGCCTTTAAGAAGCTGCGAATAAGCTGTTGACCTTTGTCTCAGTGTATCGGACCTCTCCTTGGCTGACAGCATTTTGCACTACGTGTCTTCAGGTTGACATTACAAACAGCATTCAGAAAGCACAAACAACAGCAAAGTTGTAGGCTATAATATAAGGTGTGCATTTTGGATGTGTTCTACTTACCTGGTAGCATGTGCACAGAAGACCAAAAAATCCATTCTGAGGCAGTTTTTAAGAAATTTTATAAACATAGTTGTCCATACAGTGAACGGAAGGTGTTGATGAAAATAGGTAACAAAGTGTGGAGCTGGAGGAACACAGCAGGGCAGGCAGCATCAGAGGAACAAGAAAGCTGATGTTTTGTGTTGGGACCCCTCTAGAAAAAAAAATGACTGGCCTGCTGAGTTCCCCCAACCCCACACTTTGTTATCTCTGATTCCAGCATCTGCAGTTCTTGCTATCTCAGCTGTTGACAAAATATGAGTATGAAGCAATGGCAAAGTTACGAAGTAACGTAATTTGCCTGTGTTTTCACAGAGGAAGTAGATTTGCCTCAGTTTTTATGGATGACATTTGATATTGTAGTAGAATTAGATGTGATGTAGAGGTCCTTGTGAGTAGTAATCGATCAAAGAGAAAAGATACTGAAATATTCATACTAATGCTGAAAATTACTTGGGCCTATTTCTGAGAAAAAAATTGAAAAGCATCAATTATGCCAAGAAAATAGGAAAATGGTCAAAGGAAATGGATATAATTAGGCAAGTATGGTTTTGCTTCAGCTGATAAAATACTCATCAAACATGATTAAGTTGTTAATCACTTAAATGCAAGTAAATAAAAACCATCATTGGACCTTATCTTCTGACTTTTCAGAAACATTTTCTATTGAATATGCAGTGTTAAGGATCCATAACTTTTCTTGAAGTCATGCTTTGAAACTTTGCGTAAACATAATATGACTTGGAACTCGGGAACAATGAAATAGAAATAGTCTGGAAAGAAAAGATCACAGGTATAGGAAAGTTTCTACGACTGGAGAAATGTGCTGAATGGTGTCAGTCCTTGGAACTATATTGGGGTTCTTACTGTATACATAAATTAGCTTTAGAAATTGTGGAGAGTGTCTAAATTTGCTGATGACACTAAATTACTTGGAGAAGGGTATCTGTAGTTGCTGGGTGGTGCATAAAGTTGAAATGAACCATGAAAAACTTGGTGTTGATGAATACAGTAGCAGCATGTGTAAGTAGTAGATGCAGTAGAAAATATTTTAGAGTTAACAATTCAGAAATAAATGCTTATATTTACTGGGGTACATAATCAGAGTGACTACGAGAGAGATAGTCACTGGTCAAGATGGCAGTGCAAGTTAATGCAATAAAACAGAGCTCAATATTATGTGAATCTAAACGATTTTAAAGGGGAAATTGGGGGACATGGGGAGGGGGTATGGGTTTGGTGGAGTCTTCAGCGAGGATGGTTAGAATGTGTAGGTTTCTATTGCAAATTACTGTTGATATTGTCCTTAATTTTTTTTCTAGAATAAATTTCTGTAAGCAATTCAGTAAGATATGTGGAATGAATATGAAAGTGAGTTAGATGAGATTGTTTGAGACATACACTCTGGCACAAGCTTAGTCATACTTCTGGTGAAGCTGAAGTTTGTATTGGTTTTTTAAAGTTGTTTACTTGACCTGAGATTGGGTTTTCAAATTTGAATATGCATTCTTGTTTTGTAAACAGATTAGCCAACTGAATTTAGCTGTTGCTCATCTGAAAGCCAATGTTAAATCAGCATCTGACTTGATCAACCTTCCAGTCACTGTGGAACAGCTCCAGAAGGTATGATTCTGTAGATTTCTTTGCACTTCTATAGTTGACTGAAAATGCTGTGATGTACTGTAGTCATCTTTTTTCACATTTGTTGTCAAGAGATATCTTAACACTTTCCTCCTTGCTGTGAACCACCCAGCCAATCTTTGTGTCATTTTCATCTCTTCCACATTCTCAAATACTTCATTTATGAATATCAAACAAGAAGGGACGCAGCACCAATCCCTACGGTGTGCCACTGCACACTGGGCTCTAGTCTCATAAACAGGCTTCCATCACTACCCTCTGGCTCCTATCCCCAAGCTAATTTTAGATTGATCTTGCCAAGTCATCCTGGGTCCTGTGAGATTTTACCTCCTTTATCAGTTTGCCATCTGGGACCTTGTCAAAGGCCTTACTGAAATTTATTTCAACTACATCAGTAGAAGAGTATAAATGCAGTAGGAGTACACTTAAGAGGGAAGTCAGGATGGCAAAAAGGGGACACAGATAGCTTTGGCAAATAGAGTTAAGGAGAATCCAAAGGGATTCTACAAATACATTAAGGACAATAGAGTTACTAGGGAGAGAATGGGACCCCTCAAAGATCAGCAAATCTGCCTGTGTGTGGAACCGCAGGAGATGGGCGAGATACTAAACGAGTAGTTTGCATCAGTGCTTGCTGTGGAGAAGGAGGTGGAAGCTAGAGAACTTGGGTGAACAAATAGCAATATCTTGAAAAGTGTCCATATTACAGAGGAGGTGGTGATGGATGTCTTAAAATGCACAAAGGTGGATAAATCCCCAGGACCTGATCAGGCGTACCTTAGAATTTTTATGGGAAGCTAGGGAAGTGATTGCTAGGCCCTTTGCTGAGATATTTGTATTATCAGTAGCCGCAGGTGAGGTGCTGGAAGACAGGAGGTTGGCTAACGTATTCCATTATTTAAGCAAGGTGGTAAGAAACACCAGGGGACTATAGACTGGTGGGCAAGTTGTTGGAGGAGATTCTGAGGGACAGGATTTACATGTATTTGGAAAGGCAAGGACTGATTAGAGATAGTTAACATGGCTTTTTGCTTTGAAAATTGTCTCACTAATTGTGAGTTTTTTGAAGAAGTGACTAAGATGATTGATGAAGGCAGAGTGGTAGACGTGGTCTGTAAGGACTTTAGGAAGGTGTTCAACAAGGTACCACAGGATAGACTGGTTAACAAGTTAGATCACTTGGGATATAGGGAGAACTAGCCATTTGCATTCATAACTGGCTTGAATGTAGGAGACAGAGGGTGGTGGTGGAGGGTTGGTATTTGGCCTGGAGGCCTGTGACCATCGGTGTGCTGCAAGGATTGGCGCTTGGCCCACTACTTTTGGTCATTTATATAAATGATTTGGATATAAATATAGGAGGTATGGTTAGTAAATTTGCAAGTGATACCAAAATTGGTGATGTAGTGGACAGCCAAGAAGTTTACCTCAGTACAACGGGACCTTGATCAGATGGACCGAGGTATGGCAGATGGAGTTTAATTTACATAAATGTGAGATGCTGCATTTTAAAAAGGCAAATCAGGGCAAGGTGCACACACTTAATGGTAAGGTCCTGGAGAGTGTTGCTGAACAATGAGACCTTGAAGTGCAGGTTCATAGTTCCATAGTTACGATGCAGTCATAGGTAGACAGGATAGTAAAGAAGGTGTTCGGTATGCTTGCCTTTATCGGTCAGTGCATTGAGTGAAACAGTTGAGAGATTATGGTGAGGCTGTACAGGACGTTGGTTAGGCCACTTTTGGAATACTGCATTAAGTTCTGGTCTCCCTGCTGTAGGACGGGGTGCAGAACAGATATACAAGGATGTTGCCAGGATTGGAGGGTTTGAGCTATAAGGAGAGGCTGAATAGGCTGGGGCTATTTTCTCTGGAGCATCGGAAGCTAAGGGGTGATCTTATAGAGGTTTATAAAATCATAGGGTAAAAAGACAAGGTCTTTTCCCCTGGGTGTGGCAGTCTAAAATTAGAGGGCATAGGTTTAAGGTGAGAGAGGAAAGATTTTAAAGGGACCTGAGGGGCAACTTTTTCATGCAGAGGGTTGTGCGTGTATGGAATGGGCTGCAAGAGGAAGTGGTGGAGGCTGGTACAGATACAACATTTAAAAGGCATCTGGATGGGTATATGAATAGGAAAGGTTCAGAGGGATATGCGCCAAATGCTGACAAATGGGTCTAGGGTCAGATTGGGGTGTACGGTCGGCGCAGACGAGTTGGACCGAAGAGTCTGTTTCCATGCTGTATGACACTAACTACTTCCATGATCGGGGTGGTTGAGTGGTTAGCACTGCTGCTTCACAGTGCCAGCGACCTGGGTTCGATTCCACCCCTGGGCGACTGTCTGTGTGGAGTTTGCGCATTCTCCCTGTGTCTGCGTGAGTTTTCTCCCAAAGACGTGCAGACTAGGTGGATTGGCCATGCTAAATTGCCCATAGTGTTCAGGGAGGTGTAGATTAGGTGGGTTGAGAGGGGAATGGGTCTGGTTGGGATGTTTTGTGGAGTGGTGTGGACTTATTGGGCCTGTTTCCACACTATAGGGATTCTATGAATAAGTAAGGGCGGGTTGTCAAGTGCAGTGTGGGTCTTCTACTTTCAATTGTCCTGTTGCCTTAAATTCCACATGTGGGAATGGGGATAGGAATCCTGCAATTGAATCCCACCACCATTTTTTAAGTTCCACTCAACTCGGGTGAACGCGTGAAAATCCGTGCCACTTCTGTGCAAAGAGAACAGAGGGAAATTAGCATATGGTGTGCAAGTAGACTTTTATGAAGGTTCACCTTGAATGGAACAGCAGGTTAGAGGACCATGTGACCTACTTCTGTTCCCATTTTTTATGTTCTTAAAATCCATTCTTGACCAAACATCATTGCGGGAATATTTTTCACCACATTCCTTGCACTCCTTCAAAGAGAAGGACTACTGTTGTCAAAGGCAGCTAGGGTGGGCAGTAAATTCTGGCCATGTCTGTGGTGCTCCTATCCAGAGAATTGATATCAAAATAAGTTGACCTCCATAGTGTATTAATACAAACTTCTGAAGGCAAATGCTTTTGATTTGTCCAAAATAAAAGTTTGCACTAATTAATAATTGCGGAAGAGAAATATTTTTTGAATTGCATTGAATTTTTTTATTGCAAGAGTGTCGCCACAATCGGGAGCACGCTCACCAGTGTTCAACATGATGTTGATACTGTGCAGACTGCCTTTGAGGATCAAAAGAAGATGGTGGACACCCTTCAACAAAATAAGGTGAGGACTGCTGCAATTAAAGGGAACGAGGGTCAGAATGTTTCATACCAGGAAAACACATTCTCTTGTGATAATTACAATGTTCTAGAAAAGTGTGTACATCTATAATTTGAGACTGGCATGTTAATGAGAGTTGGCAGAACTACTGCAGCTGTTGTATAACTCCGATTTGAGTAAAATTTATACTTGGTATACTGTCACTTTGTCTTCTGAAAGCTTTGAAACATTATTGTTTGACGAAGTTGTCTACCATTTTCTCTCAGTAAACAACAACTTTATTGAACATAATTTCTAGTGATGTTGTGTGCAAATGGGATAATCAACAAAATGAACTGCAGAAATATTGATTTGTTTACTTCTTTGCATAACAGCTGTAAAGTAGTGTTTTGGTAACATAGGAGTAGAAAATAAGTTGCAAAGATTCAAGTTGAGCTTAATATTCTGATACATATATCATTCCATAGTAGTAGATGGCACAGGAAAGGAAATGACCAGGATCAGTTTCTCATCTGTTGCTTTAGCTAATCTAGATTGGACTAGGTAGAAGTGTGTTCCAATGGGTCCTAATAGTTCCAGTTTGGCAAAAAAGGAAATCATGGCATTGTCACTGATATTTATGCCATGGAATCATTTAGTTCCAGTGGAGGAGTTAAGATGGATGGGAGTACTATCATACTGAAATCACATAACCTATTGTCATAACTTCAAGGTAAACCATTAATTCTTGAAAGCAAATTTGACTCACCCTTATTAACTGAATGTTTTAAACTGCAAGGTTTCAGGTTTTAAAACACAAACACTCACCATACAAGAGTTAAAGCCTAGATACCCCTACAGTATACTACTTGATGGAAATAACAGGAAAGTGAGCTCTGTTATACTTTAGAGGATCTCCAAGAATCTTTCACTTCTGAGACCAAACCAAGGCATTTCAGTGGTCAGTTAAGAATCAACCACATTTGCAGTGTGTCTGGAGTCACACACAGGCAGAATGGGTAAGGTTGGCAGATTGCCTTCACTGCAAAGTTTGTCCAATGATTATTTAATTACATTGCAACTACTGAGTCCTACTTTCGATTCCAGATTTACTAATTGAATTTTACCTTAACAGCCATGGTGGGTTTTAATCCATATCGATTACTGAATTACCACTGCACCATCTCTATGGCGTTATTTAGAATATCAGGGAGTTCTGCCTGTGAATCTGTCCAGTATTTTATGAAACATTATGCACATTTGGTGTTTATCACACTTGCACAAATATAGCCTCTTTATCAGGATATCTGCATATATTGTACGACCACTGAAGCCCTCCTAAAGTGCTGTTGCAGTGTATGTTGAGGATGCAAATAAGAATTGAGGGGATTTGGACAGACTAATTGATTGGGTGTAAAATGTGACAAATGGGGCATTAATGTGAATAAGGATTAAGTTATTCACTTTGGTAGGGAAAGAAATAAAAGGCAGTATTTTTTCCAATATTGGTGGCTTGGGAAAAATTGGTATCCACCCGTACCCTTATTGATGAGTTACTATAAGCTGGCATATGTGTGCAGTAAGCAATAAGAAAAGCAAATAGTATTTGGCTTTCACTGTAAAGGGATTTGAGTACAAGAGTAAAGATATTTTACAACAATTGTATAGAGCCTTGGTGAGACTGCATCTGGAATATCTGTGCAGTTTTGGCTACTTACCTAAGGAAGGTAAACTCTTCATAGAGCGAGAGCAACAGATGTTCACCAGACTTGTATGTGGGGTTGTGTCTTAACCAGTTTCTTCATTCGCAATTGCTAATGTATTCTCTAGAGTTTTGAGAGCTGATCTTATTGAAAGATATATAATTCTTACAAGACATCGCAAGGTGGATATAGATAGGAAGTTTCCACAGGTTGATAAATCTAAAGCCCGGGCTCATAGGTTTGGAAAATAAGCCTTCTCATAGGATTAAACAAAATGAAACGGAGTGTGTGGAGTGAAAAGAGAGCTGATAATAGTCAAGTTGGCTTATTTGAATTCTGATACAAGTCCTTACCTACAGGGACATTAGCTACTTGAAGATTTTTTCACTCTCCACATTCATGTGTGTCATTGTTACCTTAGGTGGTATCATGCTTGCCTCTTAAAAAGGTTGTAGCTGCATCAAGCCTCTTTCCAGACTTGAGCACAGCATTGCAGACTAATACTATTACTCCTATTCAGTAATGAAATGTTGTATTATAAGAAGTGCTATATTTCACATCAGAAGTGAAGCAGATGTAAAATATTCTGTGGCATTATTTTGAAGGAAATACTTGCCAATATCTGTGTATCTACATTCATAACCTTCTGGCACCATTATCACTTGGATAATTTTAGGCAGATTCTCCACACCCTGATCTGGATACACTCCTTATGCCAGCAGTGCCTTATCAGACCTGTCCGTCACTTCTTTGTTTGACTGAAATTGTTTTCATTTGAATTCTGATGTGATGTCCTTTTGAGTTGGAAAAATTGATATTTTTCTTTAAATTGTTCAGGATCTAAATTAGTTTTTAAGAATTGTTGAAAAGGACTTCTAACTGTCTGCATCAATTATAAAAAGATCAATTGCAATGTTCCTGGATAATTTAAAAAAAAACTTCCCCATGAGAACTGATGAATCTTGATCTGAAAGCAGGTCCAATAGGAAGTTAAGATAGTGATACCTTGTGGCCTGATACAAAGGAGAGTGGGAAGCAGAGGCACTGGAGGGTGAAGGCCTATATGCAAACAGACAAAGAGGAGCATACCAAATTCTTGACAGGAAGCAAATCGTTCTAAGGAAGACATCGGTTATTCTGTTTGGCAGAAAAGAGACCTGATGCTGTTGAATGTGTGAGCTGTAATGTGTCCCCTGATTTCATCCTTCTGATTATTGATGTACTGGTGCTGCTTTTTGCATTCACTCTGGTTCAGGGAGTTATAATAATGAGACCCATGTCCACCTTTTTTTTTAATCTAATCTATTTTTAGCCCTTTCTTTTCCATCTTGCAATGGCTTTCTCCAGACATTAGAAACGATAGACTTTGTACTTTTGGACCCTTTGTAAAGACTGTGCAGGTATGAAGTTGGCCATTCAGCTCATCAGGCCTGGACCACCATTTAATAATATCATGGCTGAACTAATTGTGGTCTTAGTTCTACTTTCCCATCCACTACCAAGCTATCTCAATTTAAATACTTTACTTTCCTATTCTTCTTCCTGACAATGTGGACAATCTCATACTTCCCAAATTATATTGCATATTCTAAATTTTTGCCCTCCCATGTAACCTATCTGGACTTGTTTTGAGATTCATTGAAACATCCTACAGTTTGCTTAAATAAATTTGCATTATCATCGTCAAATTATTAATCAATCAAGTTATACCCGGTCCCTTAGCACTCCACTAGTTAGTTTACCAACCTGAAAGTTACCCATTTCTCCCAACCCTTTGTTTGCTCTTTGTTTCCCAATCCTCTATCCATGCTGACATTTCACCACTCAGAACCACCGTTATGAGCTCTTAATTTTGTGCAGGTGTGTCAAGTTCTTATTTCTCCGTCTCTATTGAATCTCCTCTGACAGTTTGCTTTTCTTTGTCAAAATGTTCATTCTTTGTGACTAAGGCTTTGAGGGTTCTTTGAAGTCTGTCTCTTTTTTTTTTCTGAGCCCACCATTTAATATATAGTGATAGCAGTGAACCCCGATCCCATTAAAATTTTCAGTGCAACCAAAGCAGATGTGTTGACTGTCAGTTCGTCTCTTTCACATCAATGCTTTTCTACATGATGTCAATTTACATGTAATGTCTCAGAATGGCGTACTGAGTTGTAATTAACTTGGTTTTGATGTTTATTCTTTGCCTGTTGTTTTTTTCAATTTGTCACCATTTTTGTTGTAACATAATATCCTAGATACGCTACTACTTCTGACTGTAGGCAACGGTTTGTTGGCCACATGAATTTTTTCCTGCCTTCAAGTTGTCCAGATGGAAGGCTGAAACGACAATCTTTGCAGTGTTTGGCCGAAGTTTCTGTATTCTATTATAGATTTCCAGGAAAACATAGATCTTAAGTGAGCATTTTCTCAAAGTCCTGGAAACTAGAACTAAGTTGTCAGCATATGCAAAATGTGAGAATCTGGGGGGAGGATACTGCTGTATATGCGAAGAGAACTGGTGTGAACACTGCTTCCTGTGGGATCTGATTGTTTGCTATGTTGTGGGTGGCTGATTTGATCTCCAAAACGAACACAGTTCTATCAGTTGCTGATAATGGAATTGAATAATTTTCAGGTTTTCACTAAGCAGATGTTTTTGGAGAGTTTCAGCAGTATACCTGTGTGCCACCTTGTCAGAAGCACAGGCTAAGCCAACAAAGATGGTTCCTATCTTCAGACCTGTTTTGGAAACTGATCTCTGTTCGAGAGACCAGTGATAGGACCTGCATGGACTATTTGCTGCCCATGTGAAAGCCTGTCTGTTGGGATTTCTGCTTCCAGGTGGGGCTCAGTCTGTTTTGCAGGTGTTCCTGGAGCTTTTAGTTATGAGAGTAGGGGCAGTGTGGTCAATCAAAATGTATACTTTGACATAAATGAAACCTGTTTAAAGCAATGTTTTTCTTAATACACTATCCATAACTGAATTTGATTGCATGTCGTATTTTTCTGTTTCAGGACATCTTGGACTTGCATGATGAAGTAGGTGAGGTGAACGCCACCCTCCTATTTTACCATGCAAGCAATGATGAGAAGCTGCATCACATAGATTTTGAAGTTGGTAATCTCAGCCAGAGAGTTGCATTACTGGAAAAAAAATTACTAATTGCTAGTAATGTGACTAAAATCGAGAATGTAAATGGCACGGTGGTAAGTGTAATCATTTTGAATCCTGAATAAGAGCTGTTGTTTCAGATTTTTTCTGTTGTGGCCTGTTAGAAAGGTGTGCCTTTTGAATGCAAGAGTGTATGCTTCTTTAAAAAAGTAAAATCTATAATTTAAAATAATTTGAATCATAAACCAAGCTTTGTTCTGAACCCACCATATTTAATAATAATTGGATAACTGAGTGAATAACAAATCTGTTTCAAAGGGCAAAGTTTGAGAGGTTGGTTTGTCAACCTAACAATCCACAATTCAGTACCAGGGTCAAATATATGAAGTTGGAGAATGTGAGTCCTCCAGAATTAATAGGTCTTTCTAACGAAATATTGGAGGAGATCTCACCAAATGAAGTGTATTTGTAATTTAAGGAACTCACTCACATTGACTTATAGAGGGCATTCTCTTCTGATCTTTTAAAATTGTTTGTTTATAAATGAAAACTTGCATTAAACCGTAATTGTTATCTGTCTTCAGTGAATAGTAATAAGTAGCAAATGTAAGTCACAAATAACCCTCAAATGGCTCGAGAAAGTATTGGGCGATTAGACTGAAATTTCATTTTGTTCTGGCGCTGCACCTTAACTATAATCATACTCGGTTTGTAGACGTCAAGATGAGGATTGCTCCAGCTGCGAATTGAATACTATCTTTACAAATAGATGTTAGCATCAAATTAATTTTCGTCAGATCGTTCAGATTAAATGCAAGATAAAGCTTGGTATGCTCACGACAGCATGCTTGATCAGCAACTATTCAGTAGTTTCATGGCAGCCTGCAAACGAGTATAATTTCTTGCTTGAAATTGTGATGTCTCTTGAACTGCTTTCATTGGATCGATCCAACAGACAGAAAACGTTTGCTGCGAGAAGGCTATTTAATTGCAAGTAGTGTGAACCAGAAAGCCACTGTCTTTTGAAAAGCAAATTAGGGAACCTGAATGTTGATTTATTAACATGTGTGCAAAACTAATGCTGGTGTCCAAGATCAGAGACCCTTTGACTACCTCAAACTCGCCGAACTTCTGAACCAGCAATGGCTTCAGATGCATTGAAGAATAATTTAATTAATCTTCTCTGATTTAATGCCCGAGAGCTGACTCTTTTACAGTGATTTCTAGCCAATTCATTACCACCAAATTAAGTCAATGTACCCATTTGAAAAAAATGAATTCCTGTGGTGGTGATAATGGATGAAAAAGGGGATCGCTGATACTTTTTCATGTTAGTAATATTTTCATTATTTTCGGAATGTTTAAGAATGGAATTGCATGTATATTTAACTATTGCCACTTTTAATATTTTCAAGTGCTGGTAATAAGTGGTCAAATAAATTCAAAATGCTAATAGATGACAACTTTTATTTGCTGTACATCAACTGCTTTAACACAGTAAAATGTTCCAAAGTGCTGCAGTGGCTTAAAGGAAGCTGATTTCGAGCCAACGAGATAAGAGATGTGTGAGCATGATTCTGGTCAAAGACAAGCTTCAAGAGGTTTGTGGGGTGGGGGGAGCTCTTGTGGTACAGTGTCCCTACCACTGAGCCTGGAGGCCTAGGTTAAACTTGTTATGATGACATCCCTGGACAGGATGATTAGAAAATATCTAAAAAGGTGGAGAGAGAGCTAATAGAAAAGAGACAGGCTTTCGGGAGGGAGTTTCAGTGACTGGGACCTAATTAGACCACAGCTGTCAAATGTTAAGGTGAATGAATGGTGTTATATAAGAGGGTGAAGTTGGATGAGCAAAAATTGGGATGCATGGGATTGTATTACTGGTAGAAGTCTGTGTTTGGTTGAGGTGAGATCATGGATGATCCTTTTTGTGAAAAAAAGAAATTGCAATGAAAATGAGCAAAACACTTTGTGCGAGGACATGCATTTAACAGGGTTTTTGATGAGTGGCTGGTTGGGAGAACATTGGCATTATTTTGGAGATGATGCTTATGAATGAAACTTGATGGCAGATGGACAGCTTGCTGCCCATGCTTGCTGCTTGGCCTGCTGTGTTCATCCAGCTCTACACCTTGTTATCTCAGAACGAATATGAAGTTTTAAATTGGATATATAAAAATATTTCCAGGCATGGGGGTCACCATTCTTCAGTATTTCTAAGGAATGTACTGTCCATCTGCCATCAAGTTTCATTCATTGGCATTATTTTGGAGATGATGCTTATGTTCTCCCAACCAGCCACTCATCAAGAACCCTGTTAAATGCAATTTCTTGCACAAAGTGTTTTGCTCATTTTCATTGCTAGTCTTTTTTTTAACAAAAAGGATCATCCATGATCTCACCTCAACCAAACACCGACTTCTTTCAGTAATACAATCCCATGCATCCCAATTTTTGCTCATCCAACTTCACCCTCTTTTATATAACACCATTCATTCACCTTAACATTTGACAGCTGTGGTCTAATTAGGTCCCAGCCACTGAAACTCCCTCCCTAAAGCCTGTCTCTTTTCTATTCACCCTCCAATTTTAAAACAAAACCATGGCTAAACTGACAGTGGGAAGAAAATTGTTAATGCATTTGAAGTAATGTGATGAATTAATCTAACCAAAATGTTAGTTTATGCTGGATATTCAAGGAGTTTGTCACTGTTCCCCTTGAAACAATAACTTGTGCTTTAATGAGCCTTTTGATGTGAATTGCAGGTGACTCAGATGAATAGCACTCAGGAAACAGTTGATTCAGATCACCAGATTGCTCTCAAAGTACAGAAACCTTCAGGATTAAATGTAAGTAAATTTTTTCCTGGTGTTGATTCTAATTTATGCTAGGAATAGCAAGGCTGACCAAACGACCATCTCCTGTGCCATCGTGACTGTGAATGCAGACTGAATTTGCAATCTAGGATCTGGAGCAAAATTGTGATTTTTTTTTTTTTTTTTGATGCTAGGCCTTTTCTTTTAAAGACACCGAGTAGTTAATTTCCCGTGGAAATAAGGTCCTCGGCTTAATTAGTGACAGAAATTTGCAGATTACCAAGTGGTTCCTGCTTCAAATGAATTTGATTATTCCATAAAAAAAATCAATTGACTCTACAAATATCTCTTCATTTTTAACAATGCCTTCAGTAGACCAGATAAACCTTAGTTTGACCTGGGCCGTTGAGGGTTTCTTTTGAGTGCTCACAAAGCCAGTGGTTTAATTTGCCATAGTTGGGAGAGGATATGCTTTATCTCTTGTCACTGTTTTAAAATTGTCACTGTTCACAGTCATTTTAGCTGCAAAGCAAACCAAATACCAATTGTGCATTTTAACAAGAACAGGTAACTTGTCATTTATGTAAGCTATTTAGGGTGGTTTTTCCAGCATCAATTCATTACAAAAGTATAATGAGCCAGCAGAACAAATATACTTAATGGACTTTGGAAATGTCAAACTATGCTGCTTGTAGATATGCTAATTAGAACTTGTAACTCATAAGAGGGAATTGCTGCCAATCGTTGTTTCCACAAAGGCTTCTCAACTACATCCAAATGACATTTATTGCTTGCCCAGCAGCAATACGCTGTTAGCTTCTACATAGCTGTGCTGAAGGTCAAATACAAAATGAAACTAGATTTATTGCACCACCTGTGCCTCTCAAATATGTCTAAATTTGAGATTTCAAAGACTTGGCTTCGAAGAAAAATAACTGAACATGAATGCTGACCAAAAATAATTTCATGACAGTCAGTATTTTAAAGCTAGAGAACATTTTAAATTAACCAATCTGAATTTCCAGAGTTAATGTTAATTAGGCTCAGTTTTTCTTTGTCTCTACACTTAAGTATGTAGTTGAGAAATTCATTAATTCTGGTATTAAGCTTTAGGCTCCAATACCAGAACTAGATCTGTTGGCTGAATATCCAAATGAAATCTGATTTGTTTATCTCATCTTCAAAAAAAAAACCATAATGTGCCTTAATGGTCTCTAACTTGGTGTCTTAACTGATGCAAATTGTTGTTTAATTGTGAATTTGAGCTTGCTTTAATGAATTAAAACCTTGCGTAGAATTTTGAGAGAGGGATTTTATTAGGAATTTGGATAAGGATATCTGCATTCCAAACTGTTCATTAATGACCTCCTGTGGCTAATTTCCCAAAGTGTTCTTTTGCTGTACAAGTCCTGCACTAATCCATGAAATCTGCATGCCTTGTTTGATTTGAATCTGAATGGATTTAATCCCCTTGTGTAAAGAGGTGAAATAAATATTTGTGCACATCTGTTGACTATAGAAGAACTGTTCCTGATAAATTGTCTATAAATTGAGTTGTAATGTTACAGATTCACCAAAAAATTTAAGATCACTTTGAAATAAACAAAAAACTGGTTTGAGAATCCACAATACCAGTGGACAGACCTGGCAGTGCACATTCATTTGACTAGCCAAATTCAAATCATGGAGTGTCTCATCCAAAAGAAAATGAATGTTTGAAATGCAGCTAAGAGCTTATGTAACATTTGATGCCTCCCTTTTACTACATGCAAGATTAACTAATTTTTCCTCTCAATCCATACATTAATTTGCACGTGTCGCCAGTCTTTCCCCAACTCTTGCATAACCTTTTTATAACTTGTGTGCTTGGTCTAATTGCTTAAGCTTTTAAAACATAAAATCCATGCTGCTTTTCATTCTGAAAAATAAAATTGTGCTGGTTGTTCTTAATCATTCAACATAGGTCTAAATGCTGACTAATTTAATCTCACTTTATGGATAATCTAGATTTTGCTCAAAAATGATTGTCTAATCGATCGGTTGTTACCTGGTTGTTTCCTCTCCTTTCTTGAATGGGGAGTAGCACTGTCTTTTCTCTCCATAGGTTGAAGTGAATTGTAATTTTAAAATGGATTGAAGCATTTTGAGGGGTTTTGTTATCCCTGTCTACTTTGCAACATAGGAACAGGAGTTGGCTATTCAGGCTGTCGAGCCTGTTCCACCATATAGTGAGATCATGGCTGATTCATGGCCTAACACCATATACCTGCCTTATGACTTGTAGTCCCTAATACTTTTTGCTGAACAAAATTTTCATCTTCATTCGTCAAACAGATGTATGATGGTTATTCATTTCTCATCTTGAACTAAATTATCCCCTTTATCAGTTTATGAATCTGATCTTCTGTAACCTATTCTTTAACTTTGTGATACACCTTAACTATTTATTTTGATATCAGCTGCATTAATTTTCTTTGTGCTCGCTTGGGAGGGGCGGAGAGAGAGAAAAAAGTAACTAATTGTTATTATAGAATCTCAAACTTGTTACTGTGTAGAAATGAGGCCATTCTGCTCATTGTGTCGACACTGGCTCTCTGACCATTTTGGCTTTGTTTAAATCTCATACCTTTTCCCTATAACCCTACACTTTGTTTCTATATAATAATCATCTAATGCCCTCTTCAATGCCTCACCTCCAGTTGCTATCACATTTCTAGGTTATGTATTCCAGGCCCCAATCAAGCAAGGCTCTGCGAAAAACTGCTTTCCTTGGTTCTCTATTTGATTTTTCTGCAAAACATTTGAAATCTGTGTCCTCTGGTTCTCAATCTTATCAGTGGGAACAGTTTCTTCCTAGCTACTCTATCCTCATAACTGAAGTTTCTCAACCTTGTGACTGCTCTCATAAACTATTTTTTGCACCTTTCCCAGTGCACTATCATTCTTGCTAAAGTGTGGCACCCAGATTGTACATAGTACTCCAGCTGAGATCTAAAACGTGTCTTGGATAAGTTCAGCAAAACTTGTTTTTCTTTTCCTTTTTATAAACCTTATTTCAGTCATAATCTGGAGGACTCTTACCTCATGCATCATTTTTCATCTTTCAGTTATATAAAACCACCTTATCCTCTTTCTTTAAAAAAAGAAATCACCACTACTGGTCTGTTTGCTTTGCTAATTTTTTTCTTGGTTCAGTTATTATGGGCACTGCACTTTACTTTTGTTTGATTCTTCATCAGGGTAAGGAACTGAAAGCTTGCATTCATAAGGTGCCTTTTGCCACTTGGGACATTCCAAGAGCTTTATAGGCAATGAAAGACTTTTCTGTCTTTCTTTTGAAAGTAACTGTTGTGATTACTTTCCCCTTTATTCTACCATCATCAGTTATTTGTCCCATTGCAATTCATTGAGCAAAATTAGGTAATGTTTCTTAATGATTAGATCTGTTCTTGGGAACAATTTCGGATATACTCCGAAGAGAAAACGCAACCATAAACTTGTGCATTATCTTTATTTCAGCTTAATTTATTTTGGGATAATTGAACTCAACTGGTTTATTCACCTGCTTTGTGTGCGTAGCTTTAAACTATCTATAAATCTCTTTCTTTATTTAGTATATTAACTTCCTAGAGCATCCTTTATTGTACTGCACTAAAATATTTAATACAGCAGCAAGGATCATGACAAGCAGAGGTGAGGACATTCTAAGCTTATATACTTGGGAAAGATTATAGAAGAGTATTGTTAAGAGTCAAGATTATCGGATGTGTCCACTACACATTTATGCAGTAGTATGATTTGAGGAGTGCTGTGGGCACAACTATGAGTCATCAAATTAGAAAATGGTAGTTTGCACTTTTCTGCAGATAGTTAATTTTTAAAAGTCGTCCTTCATTTCACTGAACAGTTTCTAAAGCAGAAAATTGGGAAACTTGTTCAAATTCTGGATGCCCAATCAGAGATTGCATTTTTATAGATGGATGAAGTGATGATTTTCCATAGGGCAAAATGGTAGAGCACAACGTTATCAAGAAAGAGAAATTTCCACCATTTAGTGGAATTCTGGTATTGATGTTTTGCAAATCTTCCATTTTAAGTATGTTTCCAGCTTTTGAAGCTAGTACAAGGTATGGGTTTTAAAATAAGAATCATAATCCTATCAGTCAACGAGAGTAGGAAGTGACGTTAAGAGCTTTAATTTGAAGAGCAACAACAATGGAAGAGAATGAAGTTTAAAATAACTGCTCAAATCACGGGTTCGTTCTGTCTGTCTGCTGCTGGATCCTCCCAGCTTCTTCCCAATTCCAGGCTCCTTCCTAGTTGCTATTGCTCTTCCTCCAAAGACTCTTTTAAAAAGCTTGAGTTGTAGATTCTGAAGGTTTTACAGCCTGAGACTTGATGCTTTCCTGAAGGAATATCACTGTGTTCAGAGTTGAGAGACGAAATTAATGTGGAATAGATTCTACTGTGATTACAGCAAATGTTACACTGCGATATACATATGACATTTTCAGTTTTATTATAGTAAGATTACAATTTCTGATTATAATAGTAACAATATCCCTCCCTTGACTTTTCAAAGTAAAATGAATGCAGCCCCAACCTGCTGCATTTGTGCTAGCTGCCACTTCTGTGGCATTAAGTTGACAAGCGTGTTTGCATCCCTCTCAAGGTGTGGCACCATTCATTGATATTTAAATCTGGTTTCCACTGTGCATGTGAAATCCTGTTTTATAATTAATGTTGGCTGACTGTTAACTGGAGACTAGAGTAACCAAATCGAGCAGCTAAGTGCTTTTCATAAGACTACCTATGAACCAGAAGGAATGGACTGCATGGCCATATTTTGCAAGGCTGCTGCCAGTTGTGGTCTGTCCTTGCTGCTGTTTTCAGTTTGGTTGGCTATTGCGTGGGAAATATAATTAAAATAATTTTGAAGGTCGTGCAGGTATTTTTTTCTGGGACTCCCCAGGACTTTAGGACATCCCCACCCAGTTGTGCTTATTTGCTGTGACTGTTGATGCCTTTGTTTCTTTCAGCACTTATTTAAAATAGTCATTCAGGGAATGTGGGCCTTGCTAGCTGTGCCAGCCCTAGAGAAGGTGATTGATGAGCTGTATTCTTGAAGTGCTGTAGTTCATTTTGTGTAGGTACACCCTAAATGCTGTCAGGGAGAGAGTTCCAGGATTTTGACTCCGCGACAGTGAAGGATCCATGATGTATTTCCAAGTTGGAATGGTGAGGAACCTGCAGTGGTGGTATTTCCATTTATCTGCTTCTCTTGTCTTTTCTTTATGGATTTAATAGGTTCTCTATAAAAAGTCTTGGTGAATTTCTGCAGTACATCTTGAAGTCTTATAGTTCCAAGAAGAAAAATATGATAAATGTTGATTTGACATTGGGATGCCCCTGAAATTGGGTATCCTATAATAGCCCAGATAAAGATTGATGCAATCTGCTGTTTTTGGATGCAGCATTTTCCTGTGTAGATGAGATTTCAGACTGTTGTATTCTCCTTCAAAGTGCACATTTTTATCACTACACTTCATGAATTCTTTAAGCAGCTTCCAAAAATTAATGACGATTCATGTCTGTTAATTGCTGATCATCTTAAATACCTTTCGTTAATATTGTGTTGGTTTCTCTCTCTGCAGAATCACAGCAGTCAAATGTCAAACCTTAGGGAGAGGTTGAAGGTTATGGTGAATGCCCTGACTAGCAAACCAGAAAATGTAGGTGATGCAAATGCAATCAACAGTCGAGGTAAGCAAGAGGCTATTTCTTAAAGCTATTCCTTTTTTGAGTACAAATATGCTAATCAAATATTCCAGTGTTTTTCTAAAAGGCAGTTTTATTCTTGACCCTTTTTCTATATTTGAGAGTCTCCTTCTCTGTTTGGTCACTCTGGTCAAAAATCGCACAACACCAGGTTATAGTTCAGTAGGTTTATTTGAGAACACTAGCTTTCTGAGCTCTCCTCCTTCCACGGGTGAAGTGTGGAAGAGGAGGTATACCGACACAGAATTTATAAGCAGAAAGGTAACAAACCTAAAAATGGTTTGCTGATCGCCTCCTGTTGAATCTTTAATTAATTAGAAAGGAGATGCAGGTTTCTATTGATTAAAATGCAAATCCCAGAATTTCTTTCAAGTCATTGCCCCGAGATAATTAAAGGTTTTATCAGCTTATACAAGAGGTGATGTCTCCAGTCAAACAGTGCATTTTAGGTGTGAGGCCTTGTTTAGAATCTGTTTGTGTTTTAACCTGGAGTCAGGCTGGTTTTTTTTTTTTGAACGAAATAAAACTTATACGCAAATACACAAATACACAAACATCTTGGCGAGGGGGAGCGAACCTCCAATCTCCAGGTACGTGTCCTCCAAGGCAGACTTTGAGATACAATACAACACAAAATCGCTGAGCAGAGGCTAATAACTAAGTTCTGTACCCGTGAGGGTGGCCTCAACCGTGATCTTGGGTTCATGTCACGCTGCAGGTGACCCCACCGCACCATCTAAACAAGGCCTCGCACCTAAAATGCATTGTCTGACCTGAGGTGTCACCTGTTGTATACACTGATAAACACAAGAACACAAGAACTAGGAGCAGGTGTAGGCCATCTGGCCCTTTGAGCCTGCTCCGCCATTCAATAAGATCATGGCTGATCCTTTCGTGGACTCGGATCCACTTACCCGCGTTCTCACCGTATCCCTTAATTCCTTTATTGTTCAAAAAAAATCCACCTTTTTTTAAAAGCGATTACTGAAGTAGCGTCAACTACTTCACTGGGCAAGGAATTCCATAGATTAACAACCCTCTGGGTGAAGAAATTCCTTCTCAGTTCAGTCCTAAATCTGCTCCCTCTAATCTTGAGGCTATGCCTTTAATTATCTCGGGGCAATGGCTACAAATAAATTCAGGGATTTGTGTTTTAATCAATAAAAACCTGCGTCTCCTATCTAACTGATTAAAGATTCAACAGGAGAGGGTCAGCGAGCCAGTTTTAGGTTTGCTAACTTTCTGCTTCATAATTCTGTGTCAGTATACCTCCTCTTCCACACTACACCTGAAGAAGGAGCAGAGCTTTGAAAGCTGGTGTTTTCAGATAAACCTGTTGAACTATAACCTGGTGTCGTGTGATTTTTGACCTTGTCCACCGCAGTCCAACACTAGCACCCCCAACATCATGATCACTCTGGTGCATCTGGGCGTATCATGGAAGCAACAGAAGATGTGGTTGTGAACAAATCTAAGGACTAACCTGGAATTGCTTGACCCTACAAGCATGATTATCTGTTGTTAATAAAATTATTGTAAAAGCTGAAGAAATTTTTCAAATGCATTTCTATCTCAAAATAGAGAGAAACAATAATTTTATCTGGGCAAAACTGCATTTTAAACATTACAAATCCTATTGCAGTATCCTTTAATCAGCCCAGCTTGTATTCTTTTAAAAAAAAAATACACAAGCTTGCATGGCTTGTCAAATTTATGCTAAGAAAAGAGGCTTTAAAGCAACATTGTTCACCAAAATATATAATCTATGCCTTACTCAAAAAAAGCAATTTGGAGTGAGAATGTTTAACTTTAATCATAGACAGAATAATGCTACTTCCTGTAATATGTTTTGGAATAGAATTGGGCTTGGGCTATGTATGTCGCTTCCAATGTATAAATGTTAATGTGTTTATTATTCGAATAGTGTTTTGAACTTGGAAAAAAATATCTGGTTGTGGTCTAACAAATGGAAAAGGATCTTTAGAGAGAGGATACATTTTAAAGAACCTTCTAGGGAAGGACTGTATGTAATGGATAGAGGAGGTTAAAATACGAATGAACTGGGATGTTTGGAGTAGTGACCATCATTGATAAGGTGAGATTGAATGGGAGAAAGAGAGGAATGGAAACTGTGTATGGGCTTAAATTTCACTTTCCCCTGAGTTCTGGTAACTGTGTGATGTGTTTATTTCTGCCTCCATCTGCGTAAAACAAACATAAAATGTTAAGTGTGTGGAGCTGGAGGAACATAGCAGGCCAGACAGCATCAGAGTTTCGGGATACTCAAACGTCAACTTTCCTGCTCCTCTGCTGCCTGGCCTGCTGCGTACCTCCAGCTCCACACTTATCTCTGGCTCCAGCATTGGCAGTTCTTACTATCTAATCATAAAATGTTAACATCTGCAACAGTTCTATCCTGATACAGAATGAGGACTGATTTGCCTGGGTATGCCCTTGCCTCATTAGAGACAATTATTTGAATGCAGCAGGCAAGGAGCTACTGTTCTTGAAAGTAAATAAACATTCTACTACAACTTCCCTCACTGTTACTGCGAAGGCAGCACACAAGGTCTTTGACTGCCCATCACTGTTCATATGCTCCCAGTGTCTCCCAAGTTCACCGAAGAAAGACCAAGGCTTCATGGTGTAACGGCAATTAATCCTTTTGATTTTCCAGATTTCCCTTGGTATACGTTAAGACAGTTGTCAAGGTATTCTCATTTATAATTTTGGAATGAGGGGGATATGGAAGATGAGAAGAAAGAACCAGAGGATGGCAGCCAGTCATAGGGAGAAGAACATAAACTGTTGAACAAATAGAAGGGTCATAAAAGTGGGAAAAAAACTGAAGTAAATGGGAGAAAAATGGAAGGAGAATAAAGTGGATGAAGAAGCAAGGAAAGTGGAGAGGGAAGTTACGGGAAAGTGGTTGTGGAAGGGAAGAAATTTTAACTTGATTCCTAGAGTACATATAAAAACATTCTAAATTGATTTTAGATTTGTTTCAAATGCAAAAATACCAGCAGGTATCAGTGGTGATTAACTTTTTGAAAATTAGTTGCACACTCTTTAGACTCTGACACACCTTATGATGTACTTTCCATTAAAGGGAGCAGTCCACATTGTTCGAGGTGCATAGAATTGAAATAATCAATGCTACTTTTATAACTTGGAAGCATCACTTATTTAGAACTACTTTTGTGAATAGCCCAACCAGATTTGTAAAATCTATTTTTACTCTATCTCATGATTCTTTTTCTGAATATTAATACAGTGACATCATCCTTTTGGTAAATTTTATAATTTGCATGTCTCTTTCCTCCTGCTGTATGTTTACAGGCTATCCGATAGTAATCGAGGCAATCATTTTACTGTTTTGGCTGAAATCATGTAGAAGTTTTGTACGGGCATTGGAGCAGCCGCTGGAGATGTTTATAGGGAAATTAAGGAAAGTGAATGGCATATTTTCTATATTTACCTTGTTCAGGACAGGGATGGGGGTCCCTGTTATTTATCCTGATTTCAGTTATTTTGCACTTTAATGACAGCACGTGTGTTAATATTCTGTGGCAATTTAACTTGCAATTTCCTTCAGTTTAGAAGCTGGTGGCAATTTTTGCATTATTTAAATTCTGGGAATACTGACCTACTAAGTTGATACATCACTTTTTTTTTAAGTTGAATTTTCTTTTTGCAAGGCATTTTATGTCAGCTCTCAGACATTGACCTCTGAAATGACTGGTGTTTACCAAAATTTATAGATTATTGCCTGGTAACTTTACTACCAATTTAGCTGCGTATGTATTACCTGATAGAGAAAATATTGTGTATCATAAACTTCTTTTTGTCAATTGTCTCTAGAAGCATAATGAGGTTATATTCTAAGTACAGTATTTAATGCTTTGATTTACAGTATATTTGTACATCTGACAGTTTCGATATTGATGAGAGAGATTATTTTCCCTTGTTGTAGTTGTGTGTGCATGTGTTTTTGGAAAGTTGCTGCTACTGGAACATTTTCAGCTCACTGAATATACTGGTTTGTGTTATGATTTCAACTGTGGCAGCTATTAGTTTAAGCTACAATGGCTCTTTAAGGTACCAGAACTGCACTAAGTATTGGATTTCATCAGATATTGTTAACTTTATGTACAAACTGTTCTTGACTTGGAGAAACCAGTAACATGAGTTTGGAATTTTATGACTTTTATGGTGCCCCATGCTAGTAATTGCAAAATAGGATGAAAAAACTGGTGAATGCATGGCTGGCAAGTCGGTGTTTGAGGACGGGCTTATAGACGTGGGATATGGTGACTGGTTCTGGGCAAGGTGAAACCTGTACAGTCTGTATGAATTTGCATCTCAACAGAACTAGGGTTGGTGTCCTCATGGAGTGGTTTGTTGGTGCTGTGGGAGAGAATTTAAACTAATTAATTTAACACTGGGATAGGGACCAGGATGTAGCATTAGAGAAGAGAAATTAAGTGCACAAAGGATTGGATGAGATCTGTTGCTGGATCAAGGAATAGTCATTTTCTGGAGTAACGTTTAGGGCAAGTACCAAGATGTAATTGAGTTTTGCAATACATGCATGTAAACACATAAAGCCTGGTAAATAAGATGGGAGAGCTGCAGACATGGCAAGCCATTTGAGAAAATGTTGTTCAGAAAAGGGGGAAAACTGAAACATCCTGGATCAAGATGTTTAGGGATACCAAGTAAGTAGAACAATTGGCAGTGCTAATTAAAGAAAATGTTACAATACTCAAGAAAAAATTTCTTGGAGGGACCAATGAAGCAACCCGTTTTGTTAAACAACAGAGGAGTGGTTATGCAGTTGGGTAATGTAGACCATCACTTAATGAGAAAGCCACGGAGGAACAAATTTGTGTGGAATTTGTATGTGCAAGACCATAGAGTAATGATACTGGTGGACACTAATTCTTCTAAATATAGATAGTGACAGTGTAAAGAGGGTGTGTTGTGTTCTCAAATATCACCACCTGTGGTCTGTTCTGGATTTTTTTATGGAACAGTACATTTCTGGCAATAGAAGAAAGGAGGCATTGCTGGATTTGCTTCTGAGGAATAAGGTATGTCAAATTGATGAAGTTGTCCATAGTAAACATGTAGGTAACCATTGAATCATATGATTTAGATTTGCTATTAAAAAGAATAAGGAACAATCTAGAGTTTAAAAAATTACTTAAGTGGAACAGGACAGTTTTCAATGAATTGAAAACATCTATCCCACATAAAGTGCAATCAGATTGGGAGGCAAAACTCATTCAGCAATGGGCTACCTTTAAATAGAAGGTAAATAGAAGCCTTCCTGATTATTTTGTGCAACTGTGTGCTAGCTTTGTGTTTTGTGCAGAAGTATCCCCAGTCCTCTTGTGTTGTAGCTTTCCGCAGCTTATCGCCATTTAAATAATACTGATCTTTTATTTCCCCTTCCAAAATGAATAACTTCTCATTTTTGCACATTATACTCCATTTGCCAACTTTTTGCCCAATTATTTAATCTATCAATCTCTCTGTAAACTGTTTGTACCCCTTTTGCAACTCGTCTTTCCGCCTATTTTTGTCATCTGCAAATTTAGTTACAGTACAGTTGCTTCCATCCTCCAAGTCTATCATATACATTGGAAACAGTCGCGTTCCCAGCACTGATTCCTGTGGATCCCCACTGGTTGCAGGTTGCCAACCTACAAAAGAACCCCTTATCCCCACTTGCTGTTTCTTGCCTAATAGCTGACATACTGCCTCCAACTCCATGGGGTCTTATCTTATGACTTTATCTTTTGTGAGATACCTTGTCAAACCCCTTTTGGTAGTCCAAATACAACACGTCATCTGGTTCTCTATCGGGTCTGGTCGAGACTTCTTTGAAATTCTCTACTACACTAGTCAAACATGATTTCCCTTTCATGAAGCCAAACTGAATCTGCTTGATTTGTTTATGATTTTCCAAATGCAGTGCTATTACTTCCTTAATTGATTCCAACGTTTTCTCAACAATAGCTGTTAGGCTAGTCAGCCTGTAGTTATCTGCTTTTTGCCTCCTTCCCTTTTTTTAATAGAGGTGCTACATTAGCAGTCTTCCAGTCCTCCTATTCTGCTTCAGTTTAGCAGTCTCCAACAGATCAAGGCTGGCAAAAAAGGAAGCCCTGAAGAGGCCAATCCCAGAAGCAAGAACTGTTGGAAGCTTAGTGTGTGGAAAACCCATATGTTAGTTCTGAAAGTCTTTAGAGCGCAAACAAGAATGCTCCAGTGATCGCCATGCCAACTGGAAAAAGTACTGTAAGGTGGCGATAGGTTGATCCCTCACTGAGTTTCAGTATCTCTAAGGGTTGTTGATCCATGTGTGAAACCCAACTTGCTGGATGATATTTATTTTTGCAGTTTGATTACCATAGTAACTAATCGCTGAAAGTACTCTCAATGCTGCCAATGTTCTTATGACAAAAGACACAAGTTTATTACACGGGAGGTGTGTGGGGGGGGGGGGGCGGGGCGGTGAGAAAAGACTGTATATAGCTGTGTGTAACAATTTTGAAATTTCCTAAACAGCAAAACAGATTCAGACTTTTTCCCAACAATATCGTTTATGGATACTTCATCCCAGTAAAATATCACTTGTTTTAATTTTAAAATTTCTTGCTGAGTTAATGATTTCTAATTTTTATAGCTTAGCTTCTTTCCAGTTCTATAATTTTTGACTTACTCACAATCTAGAGCCATCTTCAAAATTCTCTCAGCATACAGATTTCTACCAACTGAAATCTTGTATACTTGTATAAACTTTATACTTGTATAAATTAGCCTTTCCACTGCTAAGAACCTGTTCTTTTCAACATAGCCTCATGATTTCTGATTATCTGCCTTTCTGTAACTTAACTTTGTAAACATTCAGCCATTAATTCCCCGGTTTTCTCAGTGCGGTATTTAACTTGGATCCGGATGCTTTCTTGGGAATGATGTCTTTCGTTCGCTGTTCCAAATTACTTTGACTTTTTTTGATAAAAGAAGTCACCTTCACAAAACTGAACCAAGTTACGAGCAAGTTATTTATAACTACTTGATTGACATTTTGATGTGTCAGTGGAACAAATTGATAAGGGTAATATAGTTGATGTTTTGCAGATGGGTTTCAAAAGGTTTGAACTTGTCGGCATTATTTAATCCCATGGAATAAAGGAACAGTGGCAGCAGGATACAAAATTTGCTGAGTGACAGGAAACTGAATAGAGTTGAACATTTGCTTTCGGACTGAAGGAGAACATACTTTGTTTCCCACACGTTGGTGTGAGGACCACGGTCTTTAATCTGTTGTAGTCACTTGGTCTTTGGTGTCCAGGGCAAAAATTCAATTACGGAAATGTGGATAGTTATTGAATTCGAAAGTACGTAGACCTATGTAATAGTTGGGTGTCTGGCAGATAATTGTAACAATTTGATTAAGTGATGCTGGAACAGAGTTTGAATGTGTACAAATCGTTGGAGGTGATAAGGCAAGCGAGAAAGCTCCTGCATCTGCTTTACAACTGTAGCATTTAGTTTATATTGTTCATCCTACTCATCTTATATCATTTAGTTTAAAGAGACATATGGGATCCTGAACTTGTATAATTGTAGGCATAGAGTATATAGACAGAACAGATAGAGACAACAGAAAAGCCCAGAACCAGACTAAGCAGATTTAAAGTAATCTCAAAAGCATTAAAGGCAACCTGAATACCTTTTATTTTGTTTAATGGCAGGTTAAGATCTAGGATGAGCATCGAAGGTAGATAAAGTCTCGGTTGTGGCTTTGTAAAGGGAACTGAATTAATCTGACAGGGATGAAATTGCAGGGTAAGCGCTAGGGAATGGGACTAGCTAAACCTAATCTTGCAGAGATCTGTGATCTGCAAGATTTGTGACTTCAATTGGCTACAATAGATCAGTAAAGATAGTGGCCCTTACACCACCACCTAGGAAACAGAAGTATGCTTTCCTCTGGTCCAAAAGCAGGTGTTCAGAACCCCTCAGCTTCCAATCACTCAGCCAATTTGGTAACCTGCTGCCACTGTTCTTTTTATTCCATGAGCTTAAACAATGCTGACAAGTCGAAGTCTTTTGAAAGTCCAACTGCAATGCAGTAATTTTGATTGTGATCATTATGGCTTCCACGTCATTGAGATGCTTCAAACCTGCTTTCTTTCTGCTTTGTTTTGCGAGTGTGTCTACCTATTTACTAAATATCTTGGTTGAATAGAGAAGATATTTGCCTAACCAAAGTTTTTAACAATCCCAATTCCATTTTTATCCTTAGTTTCATTCTTTGAATGTAAATGTATTTGATTTAATTTATTTTTCTAATGTGTTTGTGTGGACTGCCTCAGTAAATACACAGTGCTGCATTATTTGAAAAGCATAGGACAGAAGAGACTCTCGCCACTCGAGACCTCTGCCAAGAGACCTTGGAGAGACCTTCAAACCAACTTCACTTGACATGAGTTTGGACTGTGTTTGATACAAAAGAGGCATGTAACCTCCATGTAGGGGAGACTGATGCTGGGCATAACTCTGTAACATAATAACTGACAGTGAGGAAGATTCACGCTGAGGTGGGACATTGCTTTTAACTGTGTCAGAGAAATCACATGTTCAGCCAGAAGCATGGCGACACAGCATTGCAGAACTTTCTGCACTTGAGTTTGAGACAGCGGGCACCCATTCTACAGCCTGCTTGCCCAATATAACTGAAGCTTTGAGACTTTATCTTGAAGAATGTGTGTAATTTCGAACTCTTTATTTAAGTAAGGATGCAAATATGGTGAAGCTGATTCTGAGGAGGTTTACTAGAAGAATACCTAGAATGAGTGCGTTGTCTTCAGAGAATAGATAGGACTGGCTTGTTTCTTCTGGCATTTAGAAGAGAGATGGCTACGCAATCTTGAATGGTCATAAAGTAGATGTAGGAAGTTGTTTCCTTTTTGTGGGTGAGGCCAGAACTAGAGGGCACAGTTTTAAAATTAGGGGTCACCCTCTTGGGATCGAGATGAGACACAATTTTTTGAGAGTTGAGAGACATCGGAATGCCCTGTCTCAGAATGTGATGGAGACGTGGTCATTGAATATTTTCAAGGCAGAGGTAGGTAGATTTGGGTCAGGCAAGGCAGTTTAAGATCATCCGGTTAAAAGAAAATATGGAATACAAAACGCAAACAGATGAGCCATGATCTTATTGAATGGCAGTGTAGGCTCCAGGTGCCAAATAGCTGCCTTACTGCTTCTATTTTCTTAATCTTCAGCATTTTAGAACAGCCACCAATCTCTTTGATCTAAATGTAATTGTGCTTTGCTGTTAAAGCTTTTCTAACAGAGCTCATAAATAAGCAGATAAATTCAATGCAAATATTGTTGAGCAGACTGAAACTTAAATGTGATTTATCATGATTTGTCATATTGTGATTGTTAAATTATTTCTATAATCAGAAAAAAGGGTTAAAATAGTTGAAAACTTAAGAACATGTATAATTTGTCCAAGTAAATGCAATGTCATTTTATGCTGCCAAACCTGAGTTTCTTCAGCATTTTTGTTTTCATTTCAGATTTTCAGCATCTGCCATAAATTGCTTTCAAGTAATTTTAAATGATGTTGCCAAAGTTTAAAATCAAGATATCTAATTTTAAACAATTTTCAGTGGAAGTTGTAGGCAAATAAATGTATTTATGCTTATTCCATTAAAAATTCACTACATTTTTTTCAAATTTATTGAGATTTTCTTATTCTATTTTATAATAAAATTGTAATTAAGCTCTCATCAGGCTCTCCTCAGATGCTTGCAAACTCATCTCTCTTCCAGGTTGAAAAATTACCCTTACAATTACCTCTTCGTATGGATGAGGTGAATTTCCAACAGAATGCCCATGGTATGTTCAAGGTGATACTATTCTTATCACTGTAAACCTCTAGAATGGAGGAAGTGCAGAAATAAACTTTGAACCAGAGAAAAGAGAAGAAATTAAAGTTACAATCCAAAGAATGAAGCAACAATGTTTTGCAAAGAAACAAGAGAAAAGGGCTAAAGGTAAAGAACTCATAAATCTCATCAAACTGGGCTGCTTTAAAAGCTATACACGTGGAGGAAGAGACTTTGCTCCAGGTTTCACTGCACGGGGATAAGTGATTCAACATGTTGGCACTAATTGATGTGACAAGCATGACCTTGATTGAGTTGTATAGTTCAGCATTTGTTGAAACAGTTTTGAATCATGTAGGTTTGTTTTCTTATGTTAAAAGCTAAGTTTGGATTAATGGCAATTTTGGCACAAACAAACTTCATATTTTTAGGCAAAAGTTGGTGTAAGTGAAGATCGATGCACGGAGCAGGAGGAGTCCGAGCACTTCTGATTGGTACATAGCCTGA